AAACTTCCAGCTGCCAGCTGATTGGCTCCTCTGTGGTGATGCTCATTGGACTGTTTCTCCGCCCTTTCAGACCACAGAGCTGCTCATTGGGGGACTCATTTGGCTCCACCCATGCGACCCAGCCAATCAGCCTCAAGAGCAGGAGGAGTGGGGGATTGAGAGGCTCCCCAGAAGCCGGTGGTGGCAGTTGGGCTCTTAGGGAATTCCTGAAGAGCTCCTGTGGTGCTGGTGCCGTGGAGTGTGTGTTCTAAAAATAAAGTTTGTTTCTGCTTGACAAGTGGCTTGTGAATTGTGCCCCTCCAGTCTGAAGCATTATGAATAAAATAAAGGTCCATCGACATTAAAATTTTTTTTTTAAATTATAAAATTTATGGATCTTTATAAACATCCAGTTCTATGATATACAACATGAATTCTCTTCTTCAATTTCTCAAGAACTGTCCAGAATAATTTTTTCTACTTTGTTTCAAAGTTGAATCTGGTTTGGAGAATGAGATTAATGTGTAGATGAGCTCTAAGACTGACATGGGATGAAGGGTGAGGTTTTCCATAAGAASCCGGCCATGTCCAGGGTAAGGAGAACCAGCAGGCTGGTAGGAGCACAGTTGCTATAGGATACCAAGACAAGGGCCTTTGTTCAACTGAAAACTAGATTTCTGTAGCTCTGGGTGCCTCCAAAATATTTTCTTCAAATACTGTATCATCCAACATCCAGACAACAAATAAAAACTACATCAACAGGATAAAGAAGAAACATTTTAATATAAAGAACTATTGATTTTTTTTTTTTTTTTTTTGGTGAGGGAGGGAAATCACATAGAATGGGACAAAGCAAACAAACAAACAAAAAAAAGCTTTGGAATGCCTGTCATGTGAAGAGTAGACAACTCTAAATGAAAYTCTGGTGTTTTATTATTGTTGCTTCATTTTGGAGTTCTTTTTTTGTGAATTTTTCCCAATAATCAGGTGTTAGGTTTTATGAAAGATAATACTGGTTGTCAATGAAATTTCCAGGATGTTTAGTTCACAAAGTCATCACTATTTTTTAAAYAAACCCCTTGACACTAATCTCTAGGGATAAAGCCAACTGACCATGAGCAGAGCACACAGCAGCTCTGGGCTCACCTGTCCCATCCTTATCCTCCTATAATTTCTCGTAGTCTTACGTTGGTCACAGGATGTCCCAAGTGAAACAGAATTGCAGGGAGTAATGCACTCTCCCCCCAAGAGAAGCACAGTGGGCTGGGGAGACCATAAATCCACAAAGGCTCAATGATTCTCAATTCCTGACCTCAGGATAAATATTAAAATAATATTTATATCACAGGAGGAACCAAATTTTAGGACGGTGCTGAAACCAAAGCAAACAACTCTAAGAACTGGAAACATATTGAAGGTTTTTGTWTGTTTGTTTGCCTTCTTGTTACAGTACTCAAGAATAATTTCTCACTTTTGCAGAGGTGAAAAATGGAATAGTAACAATTGGTAACAAATAKTAAGTATGTTCTAGGTACTACACACTATGCTTAAGAAATTAAAATAATATTTATCCTCACAGTGATTTGTGAAAATATACACTAATATTCTTCCCATTAGAATATCGAAGCTTAACAAGATTGAACGTTTTTCTCAGGATAAGACAGCTAGTAAGTCCATAGAAACTGAACCCCAGTTGGACTCCTGAGCCCATATTCCTCATTGTTATGTAAATACACATTGAACTCTGAGGAATATTTAGGGATAGCCCAACACTATTTTAGGCATTAAAAAAAATGGCATCCAGAAGGTCTTGAAAATATGGAGATCCTAAAGTCACATTTATTTCATTTAACCAATATTTGTTTATATAACATTTACTCTTTAATACGAGACACTCTGGTAACCCTTCTCCAGATGATCTTGAGGATTCTCCCCCCAACCCCGCCCGCATCCAGTCACTACTTCCCAGAATTACCCCTCCAATGTGGAATGGAGAAAACCAGAAGATGGTAAAACATGGATATTAGCACTAGATACCATAATATCTTAGGCAGTGAAATATCTTTTGAGACCCTCTAGATCAAGGGGGACATTTTATAGGGAACCTCCTCACTCAAGCAGAATCACCACCATTAAAAATGGAGTAGAGTTGGAAGTGATTTGCCACATGTTCTGATTATTGATGACTGCTTTATRAAGAACCTCAGATTTACTAGAGTAAAGTAACAGCCATCATTTATTATTATTGTTGTTTCTGGCTCGAGGATCTGACCGGGCTTAACTCCGCAGTTGGTGCTTAGGGTCACTCATTTACAGTCAGCTGGTGGCTGGGCATGGAGCCACCTCAAAGGCTTCCTCATTCACATCTGGTAGTTGCTGCTGCCTGTTGGTTGGCCAGAGCACTTATGCCTGCCTCTCCAGGAGGCTTCCATATGGGACTTTCTAGGCTTCCTTATAGTGTAGTGKCTGGAGTCCAAGCATATGTTCCTCAAAAGAAGACAGTCTGATAGACATGAAATAGTGTAAAAAACAATGCCAGTCTACATTCCAGGGGGAAAGAATTAAGACTTTACCTTTTGTAGGGAGAAGGGTCAAAGAATATGGGGATACTTTTTAAGCACCACATCATCTGATACCCAGAAATAAATCTCTTGGAGATTTAGTTGTGCTAGTTGAGGTCACAATTGAGTGACTCTGAATGAAATGTTATATGGGGACTCATGAATAGGATGGTGATTACAGGACCTCATGTCCCTTAAGTGTATGTGCCCTCTTACTTCTCCACACAGTGAATCGTTGTTCTCTAGCCTGTTTCTTTTTTTTTTCTCTTAGAAAAGTAAGAAAACATATTTTAAAAGTGAGAAAATTGACTGAAGTTGCCCTCATATTTTCATCCATGAGGACTTGAGAGAAAGGACCAGATTGAGAACAGGTAGAGAGATGGGTTTCACAGTGTAAGATAGTAACAAAAATGCTCAGTTATCCTGTGGTGGCTTAAAAACAGACAAAAGTATCTGTCTTACTATTGGKGCTTATTGGGAACAAGAATGGTAGCTGGCTAAGACAGGAGGAAAACAAAAAAAAATAAGGACCCAAGGCTGGTCCCTACAATGTAGCAGGAACCAGGCTCTGGTAGGAGAGTCCATGTGCTTCAGGTAATTAAAAACACTCACAGTGTGATTTCTGATGTTTTATGAAAGTATGTTCTGAAGTCTGGGTCAGAGTTTCCCTTAATATATCCAAATYCCACTCCAGCACGAGGTTAGTGGTAAATTGATAAATGAAGTTGAGATAGATGTTTTCATGTATTGGGACAAACCAGAATGAAGATAACTAAAAAAATTGATAGAAATAAGTTCCAGTCCTATCAGATAAATCTTTGGAAAGAGCAGAGAGGTGCTGGGCTTCTTAAAATGTCATGAGTGGAGGGCTTAAGCTGCGTGATTATGAGCAAGATTTTAAAACGTAGAGCTTCAACATATTTGTAGAAAAAGAGTATCAATGATACTTAATGTATAGGCCATTATAAAGGATAAGTGAGTTCACACATATAGGACATGCGACACATGGTAAAAACTCAATAAATGGGGACCTTATTATTATAAATCATGTTTTATAGATTTGGATAGTAAAGAAATGGAATTCCCAAAGTAGAACACTTAGGAATATCCAGATGACATATTTTAAGTTAAAAATTAAATTTCACAAGAACTAAGTTTGTATATATTTTTTACAGATAGAGGAATGCTATTTTTATAGTCTCTCATAACTGATCCGTTCTTCATTTACTATGGCAAAGGTCAGTCCAGGGCTGCCTGTTTTGCATTTGTTCAATCTCTATAAAATATGGGGTTAAACCCATGATTTATTACTTATCTCTGGGAGACAGGAAAGTATCATGGTAAGATTATCTTACAAAATGGAGTGTGGTACATCTAGAAGAAGCAGTGGGTATAAAGTTTAGTTTTATCCACTATTCCATAGGAAAGCATCCCAGTTCTGAAGATCTAGAGCATGTTGGCAGAGTAATTTTGTCCTACACCTTCAGAGGGAGGGGTAAATAAGTTTAAGTAGTGGGTTTTAGATTCTGGGTTATTTTACAAACAGTGGGGAAGCTCTGTCCATTGGATTAATAGAAAATGTTACTTGAGTGTAGCTAGTTTCAAGGAAATATACTGTTTGATATTAGCTCATCATTCATGAAATGAAAGAGGAGGACTTGGAGGATCATTGTCTGCCTTCATCAGCAGGTACAAGAAAAGGGGGAAAGATCTGATTGACCTGCAACAGGTCAACAGGGGGTGACTCAAAAAATGTCTTCATGGAGCCATGAGGAAAGAACAAGTGCATGGAAAGTCTGATCCAAGTCTGGTGGGAAGGAGGTTCTYGGTGGTAATTCATCTTCTAGAACACAGAAGGGTGAGGGAATTCCTTACCTTTCCCTGTTTTCTGGAAGCACACAGGGCCCAAGTAGAGCTCAACTTTGCCACAGGGCATCTTGAGACCTTGTTCCGAGTTTCCACTTTGCCACTAACTTCTGTGAGAATCGCAACTTCCTCATCAYCAAACTGAGGAGAAAAGAAAGAGAAAAGGTTTATCCAATGCATTTTATACCCCAGTGTTCTGTGAGTCAGTGGAGACAGCAGAGGGATTTTGGRAAAAAAAGGAAAAGGCAGGGAAAGGCAGGGAGAGAGGTTTAAAGTCACAAAGGAAGGAGGGGACCACAAAGAAAGGCTATGTCACAGAGAGGGAGGGAAGAGGTGATCAGGTTATATAATGAYGCCTTGGGAGACTTCAGGGATCAGAGAGGAGGCACCAGAGCTTGCTTGGGTCTGTCCCTTCCTCTCCTTCACCCACATCTGAGTTGGCTCCTTAGACAACGGGTCTTGATAAGAACTAGTTTGAAGACTTCCRTAAGACCTTCCTTTCTCTCCGTACCTCTCAATTCCCCAGCTGTTCTTGTCAAGGATTTGGGACTCATTTCGGATCAACTTTCTGCTCTAGAAGGATCGCAGTCTGCCATGAAGGATTTTCTCATTCTCGTGCTCTTGAGTGCAACTGGTGAGAGTTTGGGCCTGGTTCCTGCCTGGGGCGATATGCAGGGGTTGGAAGGGCAACTGAAGAGAGCAGCAACTGCTGCAGGAGATGAAAGAAAGCACCCTGGACGCACAGCTGGTCCTCTGGACCTGCTCTCTGAGTCCCTATGATGCCTGTGAGCTACTCAGGACATACCCACTGCCCTGCCCTGTTCAGTCCTGGGACCTGCTCTTTGAGCTCGTGGGCATGTGATTTTCTCCTGCACAGCCTGGGGGTTTCCTTTCCCAGAGCAGATGGTTATTGGAGGATGTGGGCCTAGAAAGGGAGGGCAGGCAGGTCAGGGGTTCAGGAAGCCCCCCGTTATCCCACTTCTTTTCAAGTCAGGCAATCTTTTGTTTTGTTAGCCCCATTCTTGTCAAAAGTTAATTCTTTAAAATATTTTTTTTAGTTGTAGATGGACACAATATCTTTATTTTTGTTTATTTTTATGTGGTGCTGAAGGTTGAACCCGGGGCSTCGTGCATGTGAGGCAAGCACTCTACCACTGAGCTACAATCCCAGCCCAGAAGTTGATTTTTAAAATAATGTATTTAGGGTGTTCATTTAATTTTTTCAGTTTTATAACACACAGTACAGTCAATGGGCATTTCTCATCAACACGAGATGAGCACATAAGTTAGTGTCACCAAACTTTAATATAATTTCATCTCAAGCAAAAATACATGTCAAATTCCTTAATGTGTAGAGCTCAGGTGGCATGGATGGTTTTCTCTTATTTTTTAAAATGTCTAGAATAAATTAAAGAACTCTGTACTATCCTTGAAAACTTTTCATTAGAGAACACCTGCATAGCCAGTCATAGTCTCTTTTCTTCTTTGTCTCTACGACCCCTTGATTCTCCAGGACTTATTGTGGAAAATGTTTCTAATGAAAAGAAAGAAGCACAAGATGATTTTACTGTTCCTTACATGGTCTATCTGAAATCCACCCCAGAGCCCTGTGTTGGGTGTCTCATCCACCCCCAGTGGGTATTGACAGCTGCCCACTGCCCCTTACCGTAAGTAGCCCTTTGCTTATGGAATCAGGGGGTGATTATTCAAATAGATGTAGGTCTGGTAAAATAGCCCAGCAAGTTTTTGATGGAATTGGAAGATCCATGAAGATAGAGAAGCTTGTTTTCAATAGAATACACAGTCGGGTGTTTTAAGTAGAGATCCAGAGGAAGATGTCATAAGATTTTCATGGGAAGTAAATAATATTCTCTCATCATTAGTCTATAGCAACAGCTGTTTCATGCACTGAGAAGACAGTGAGGAAACAGGATGGAAATCAGTTTTCCCATTTGGAGCTTACATCTGGTAGAGGAAGCAAGCCAAAATAACAAATAGCCGAAAATAAAGCATGAAACAGAACATTGAGTTGCAATACAAAGGAGCAGCGTATAGGGTAACCTGTCAGGCCTCTCTGAAGACATGAGAGCAACAGGAAGAGGAAGCAGTCAGACAAATAAAGTGGAAAGGGTATTCCAGACCCAGGGATCACTATTTTTATAGTCTCTGAGGTAGAAAAGATAGTAGGGTATTTGGCCAAATGGTATTGGTCAGGGGATGTTCATAGGAAAAGAATTGCCCCTGCCTCTTAAGCAGAGTCTCACCATGCAGGTAACAGAAGGGCAGGAGGGCGTCATGCACAATAATGATGCACAATAATGTCACATCTGCACTTTTGTTGGGCATGCAAATGTGTCATGTGAAGGGAGTCCTACTCAGTTGCAGCAGTATAAAGGGCCATTTCAAACTTACAACTCTCAGCCACCTGATTGTCAAGACAGTTGATTCCAACACAGATTGAGAGCCTGGCCTCTGTATCAGGAGGAACAGAAAGGAAATAAGTCAGTTCTCATCCTCCTGGACTTAGAGTTGGAAAATCAGACGCTCTTTCTGTCACCCATATCTAACATGTGAACTGCTTTGGGCAGGTTATTAGGAGCCCAGGAATGATTAGATATGTTGTATGATTAGACTGCTGAAAATGGAAGTAGGTGAGTCTAAATGGGGATTATAAGCAAAAAGGCTTCTAGCAGTCTCAACAAACTACTAGTAGAATCCCATGAGTCTTTGATCAATCTAGACAAGACATGGTAAGCATAGTGATATGGGCCTGGGAAAATCATCAAAACACCTAGGAATATCCAGAAACAGTGTGTCCCAGGTCCCATGTACGGGTCAAGACAGTGTAGGGTAGACAAAGCACTGTGGAATCACTGATCGAGATACCATCCCACCACCTACTAATTCAGATTATCCAAATCTTAACAAGTGACTCTTGAGTGCATTACAGGTCAGGCTTCATAAAAGCATGTCTGTAATACAATGGTCCTGTCAACAGTTATTATTCTACAGACAAAGATACATCACTGCAGCTTTCAGGTTAATAAATGAAATTAAGATGATAGGAGAAGGCGACTTCTGACTTTTTTTGTAGGATGACATTCTTGACTCTCCTCTTTCCCATTTCCTTGCCTTTTTTTTTCCTTCCAAAGCATCAAAATTCGACTTGGAGTTCATCAACCCAGCATCAACAATAAAAAAGAGCAGGTACAAAATTATTCATTGACTATGATTCACCCTGACTTTGATGCAAACTCTCTGGAAAATGACCTGATGATGATAAAACTCTCCAAACCTGTGGCACTCAACAAGTATGTGGGGACTATTGCCATATCGTTGGAGCCCATCTCATCTAACGAGTCCTGCTTCATCCCCACCTGGACTTGGAATGACTACAAAAACCGTGAGTGCTCTTCATCCTGGGGAGGTTGGAGCTGGGAAAACGAGGTCAGATACACTTGATGGAAAGAGCTGGTATGAGGCAATGTTCTTGCTCCTGGAGGGATTCCTGCTAAGCTTTATGTGGCCAGAATTGGAGGTCAAAGATAAAATTTGGAGACTGGCTATGGGGCAGCTAATCTGACACCAACAAATGGAGCAGGCACTAATTGTTGTACATGTAGAACAATTTAAGGCCAGAGTCCAGGGAACTCTGAACTTTAAAAATAAAGATGGGGAATCAGTTTTCCCACTTGGAGCTTACATTCTGGTAGAGGAAGCCAGCAAAAATAAGTAAATGGCCAAAAATAAAGCACAAAACCGAATATCAAGCTGCAATATAAGGGAACAGTRTATAGGGTGACCTGTSAGGCCTCTCTGAAGACATGGGAGCAACAGGAATAGGAAGRGGTCAGACAAATACAGTGTGGAGGGTATTCCAGACCCAGGGTATTCTAGACCATTACAAATGGCACATACAGATGGAGTGTCCTCATGCACAGACAGCAGGCCAAGAGGGTGGTTGCTAATGGAGACTTTCAAAGAGCCCACCCAAAAGCAGGGGAAAAAGAAAAACAAAGCTTACAGKCCAAGGTGAGGCCACAGAGTTTATGTCCCACTCCCCACCACAGAGAACCCAGCCTGGGCAGAGCCAGGGTAACCCATTCATTCCAGGTGACCCTGAGAGAGAGCAGAGGAGGGTGGTGGCAGAACCACCTGCCCTATCACCAGAGATGGCTCCCTGYTGAGATTACTAATCTCATCCCTCCTGATACATCTGAGATCTCCCTGTAGMGGCAGAAGACTTGGGTGGTTCATAGAGAGTTGATGATTATGACTTCCTGAAGGTGTCTTTCTGGCCACACATACCTTATGGTCACCACCCATGTTGTAGGCACACACCCTCCTCTGTGAGCCCAAATTTGGAGAAGCAGAGAGATTTGATGTCTGTGGGAGATGTCTGTCTTCTCATGGGCACTTTGTAAAGAAAGTTAGTGAATCTGTTGGTCCCTGTTGGCAGATAACTTCATGTGGCTGCTAATAACCACTTATGTTCTCTTTAAGTATTGTCAAAACCTGTTGAATCAGGTTTAAACCCTGCATCTGGCACCCACAGATGGTCTGTTTGTTCTGCGAAGACAAATAACGTGGGACTTTTAAAATAATTATGTTATTTAAAAGCAAAAAAAAAAAAATAAGAAATGAGAACTTTTATATTTTCAGTGTGTTGCAATTTCACATTTTAATTTAGAAGCAAAATACCTGGGRATCTTAAGTGAATATATTTTCTGAACAAAAAATTACAACATGTGATTTTTGTCCTTAAGTCTTATTCAAAGCAATTTGGATCACACCTTACAAAAGTATTCCTTGATATACCATTTGTAAATAAAATAAAACCACGCAAAGGTTTTTATGGTGTGGGCTCTACATGTCAATTATAGTGAGGGACCACTCCTCTYCTGATATAATAAATATCAGGGTTTCTGATATTTATTAAGAATTTTYTTATTTCAAGTAATTTATTTCATCTAGCTTGTTAAACATATTTTAATTAGACATATAAAACTAAGCATAACTTCTCTCTGTTTTGTTTTGTTTTTTCTGTTCTGAGACTTTTTGGCTTAATCTGCTTTGGGGCATTTTTTTGGATATACTCTATCAGAAAAATCCTGCTCCTTAAGAGCCACCAGGCTTAGTATGATCAGTCTCTGATCACTTTTTGTTTCTTTTCTTCTTCCTTCATACTCTCTACCAGAGATTAAAATTATACAACCCTGTAGCTAGAGTCCCTGCATCTTGAAATTGACAGTGTAAAAAAAAAAAAAAAAAACAATTGCTATGAAAGAGATGAACAGAATGACTTCTGAGGGAGAAATAGGTCTTTACATACAGATAACACACTTCTAAGTGATCAGTTTATAAATAATCTATTTGAAATCATGTCCCACAGGCTTCAGTGATGGAAGACATACAACACTGGTCCCTTAAAATTATAATGAAGCTGAAAAATTCCTATTGCCTAGTGTTTTTCACTTTATCTTTTCAGATATATTTACATACTTTAATCCTTACTATTGCGGTACAATCACCTGCACTGTCCAGTACAGTGACTTGCCATATGTGTTTGTAGCCTAGGAGCAGTGGCTATCCCTCATAGCCCAGGTGTACAGTGGAACTGTCGCATCTAGGTCTGTGAAATATATTCTATGACATTCTTACAGCAAAATAACCTGATGTGGCATTTCTCAATCATTGGCAACCCATGACTTCAATTTGAAAAGCAGTTCTACACCATAAACATAGTTACCAATGTAAAGAAAATGAAGCAGATGCTAAAAGGAAAAGATGGTGTGTAGACCACAGAGACATGGCCTTTTTACTATCTTTCTTCTAGTGCCCACTCATCGTCTTTACAMCGTTGTTTCAAAGGTCTATACGTTATTCGCAGTCGAGAGAAAATTAAAGATGTGGTGACTGGTGGAAGGGGACTTATGAATCTGCTTCTCCCACACAGATTCTGAACCAAGAACCTCAAGAAGGGTGGAATGTGGGTTGAAATATTCTCAGGGATGAATTTGTCTCCAACATAGGGGTTGATCATAAGGGCACTTGGGATAAGGAGCTAAACTCTGGAGTCCACTTGTCTTCTCGTTCCCACAGTCAGTGACCCAGACATCCTGACATGGATAAGCCAACATCCTCTTTCTGCCAGTGATTGCGAGAATGTGCTCCAACAAGAAGAAGAACCAAAACCAAAATTAAACATCATGTGTGTGGGACAACCTCTAAGCCTCATAACTAATGTAAAGGTATGTTCCRTATGGTAAGACAGTGTGGGCTCCATGGGGCAGAGAGATGACAACAGGGTGCTAATCCCCAAAGCCCTCCACAGAGTAAAGGGCAGAGATCTGGGGTCAGCCATCTATCTGTCCTTTCCCCTTCTTACACTCAGGTTGGATCAAGCTTAAACAGAGAAGGGTGAGACTTCTCTGCATGTGAAGAGAGGCTTGTCACTTCTCAAGCAGTGGAAATCCATTCCCTTAGACGATTTTGCTACTATAGTGCATCACTTCATAGTGTTTACTCTTGTGTGACAACAAAGTTACATCAACGTGTTCCTTCTCCCTGGCAGGAAGTTTCCGCTGCTCCAGCCATCTGYAGTGGGAGGCTGCATGGAATCTTGACCTGGGCAAAAGCAGGTTATACTCTGGGAAATGAGGGATTCTTTACAGAAATTTATGCCTATTCAAGATGGATCATGAAAATCATGGAATCCTATTGAGGTGCCTGTTCCCCATCCCCTCAGTCTGATCTCTTCATGTTTTCTACACTGGATCTACAATTCTTCATCTTTTCTCTTCATGAACATGGTTCAAGGGGAATATATTCAATAAAAACAAAAAGGCACCAGAAATTTGTCATGACTGCTGCTTTCCTTATCATGYGAACTTTGAAATGATGAGAAATTTAGCAACACCCCAACTCTTTGTTCATTCATACAAAAATCATGGTACCACCAATTATTTAGTACACACTGCATTCGCTGGAGGTACATGCAAGGGTATGGAATGACCTTTGYCATTGGTTAGTCCATTCTTGTAGCAACTGTGATCATGGAGTTGAACAACAATCTCTAAGGGCATAAATCTAAGCATTTAGGTGGAATCACAGGAGGAACCATCAAGGAGGCAGACCATTGGGGGGAGGTATCAGAAAAGCAAATAAAAGTGTGAAAGTGTGATATGTTCTGGAAAAATACATGGAAATGAGTAGCACCTGAAGGTAGAAAATAAATGATAGAGGAAGAGAAAGAATGTAGTAAGATTCCATGTATCCTATAACCGCTGGCCCCATTCAAAATGTGAGTCTCTCCCAACCCGCTTTCTTTCCCAGCTTTGTCCCTGTGTCCCCCACTTCTGGTGCTGATTCCTTGCCCCCTTAATGAATCACATCTGTATTTTTGACCCCATGATTTAAAAAAAATAAAGCCCTCAACTGAGCATGTCTTGAAATGTCTATAGCAGTTAATTCTGTATTTTTCCAAGTCAATTGTCAATTGTTTGCCTAACTTCACAGAATCATTTCAGAGCATCTCCTGTCTTCTCACACCTTGGATGCAATGCTCAATTTTAGCAAATGCCTTCTGGCTTGGGAGCAGGGGGAGACATCTTCTACGACAGCTGCCACCACCAAATCTGCAAACATACCCATCTCCCCTAACTTCCTTACAGACTGGCTTTATTGATGAATATCTTCTTTTTGGCTTGAATTTATTTATGCATGTATTTGTGTGCGTATATTTGCGTGTTTATTATTTCTATATGTAGGGAAACTTCAAGACCCTTCTAGTTATTTTGAAATAGATCATAAGATACCATGTTCTACACTATTCACTGCTGTAGAATATAAGAACAAATTTCTCCTGTGTGTTTTAGTACCTCCTATCTGACCTTTCCTCCCTGAAGACTTCTTCCTGCCATCACTTAAGCCAGATAAATCCTCTCAAAGACATGCTTCCTAGACCCGCTCCCTGACTGCTCTCTCTTCAGTTGTAGGTTTTCTGAAATATCTGTTCTGTGTCTCTGGTCTGTCTCTCCTTGCTGGTGTCTCTGCTCATACTCTGCTCTTTTGACCTGGTTCGTCTTTCCAGAGACTTCTCCTCATCTGTKCAGTTGTCTAGTTTCTACTGATCCTTCAAGTCTCAGAAATCACTTCCCAAAGGGCATCTTCTTTTAAATGTTTCTCTGCCCCACTTCACTTCCCACACCATGACATTCATGATGATGATTCTTAGGACATCTGTCTCCTTAATTAGACTATGATACTCGAGCACAAGATCCTCATCTCCCTTACCATTAAATCATTGATATCTGAGAAATCACCAGCCCACAGGAGACATTTGTATTAACTTTCCAATGCTGCATTAAAATCCTCACCGGAGACTCATCACACATTTATCATCTTACAGTTTTAGTCCAGGCCAGACTTAGCTGCATTGTCTTAACAAGCCTGCAGGGGAAGAATTTGCTTCTGTGCTTATGCACGTGGAAGAATTCATTTTCTTGTGTTTATATGACACAGGACCTTGACTCTGCTGGCTGTCAGCTGAAAGCCAGACTCAGATCCTTGTGCTGTCCCTTAGTTGACAAAGGTTCCCAACCATTGTGTATCCTCAAAATGTCTTTTTAAACAGCTACTACTTCATCAAACCAGCATTAAGATCCTGTATTTCTACACTAGCTACACACACACACACACACACACACACACACACACATACACACACTTTGTTACATAATAACACAATCATTTGGGTGACACCCCATCACCTTGACTACATTCTTGAATGTGGTGCTCACATTCAAGGGAAGGGGATTGTATAGGGCATAAACATGGGGCTTGGATCCATACCCCAAAAGAGTCAATAATTTTTTGTCAAATCATAAATTTCTTGGCTCCTTATGTCCTGTAAAGAATTAGGTGAGTCTTATGCTACACAGGTGAGGCTTATRTAAAAAAGCTTTCATTATGTGATTCTCACTTATCTATCTTCCTGAGAACTCTTCAACACTTGATTATAGTTCCACAAACATGCCATATTGTTGTAGGTCTTCACATCTTTGCTAAAGTTTTTCCCTCTCCGTGGGCTGGTTTTTCTCTTCTGTTTATACTATATGAGCTCTCAACCTTTCTGTAAGACCCAAGTAAAGTGTAATACCTGGGGACCCCTTTCTAACACACCATGTAGACTAGAAAGTACCTTGAATTTTTTACACTAAGACACATACCGGGATTTTAAAAAACCTTCTCTCCAGCATTTTACGAAATTTTCCAAGCATACAAAAACACTAGAAGAATTACAGTATGCCCACCAAGACTCTACCACTGAGTAATCTGTTCTTATTAACATCTTTCACTGTGGTACACTTGCTGCAATCAATGAACCAATATTGATGTATAATTATTAAATAATTTCCTCAAATTGTACAGGTATGTGGGTATTGTCAAATGTATAATGTTGTGTATACCATTCCTGTATTATACAAAATAACTGCACTGCCCTAAAATTCCCCTATGATCAACCTATTCATCCATCTTTCTCCCCAAGCCCTGGCAACCCTTGATCTATCTCTGTAATTTTGCCTTTTTTAGAATGTCACTAATTGGAGTCATGACTTTTATATTCTTTTCAGACTGCCTTCTTCTCTTAACAATACATGTTTAAAAAAAATTTCGCAATATTTCACTTTGCGTCCGCACCGACCTGTTTATCCACTTAACTATGCAGCACATTTGGTTTTCTTCCAAGATTGGTGATTTTGAATAAAGCTTCCATAAACATCCATGTGCAGACTTATTTGTGGACAGAAGTTTTCAACTCATTTGGGTRATAATGAGTGTCACTGGTGGATTCTACGTCAAGGCCATGTTGAGATTTGTAAGTAAATGGTCACTATTTTCTTTAATGGCTCTATCATTTTGCACTTAGCAGCAATAGATTCCCAGCATCAGTTCAAGAGGTACAGAAAGAAAAGGACTGAGGTATCTCAAAGAGGAATTTAGTGTTAGGCAGAGGGAGCTATGTCAGTGCCAGAGGCCTGAGCACGTCCAGCCAGTGTCACACAAATGGGGCTCAGCATCACAGAGACAGGAGGGGTCAGTGTAGTTCAGACAGAAAACTGCCTGCAGAAACCCGACAGGACACGGCTGTGGAGACACTGCGAACTGAAACTTTGTCAGGTTATGTAATTTCTTGCCTGAAAGGAGCAGCTGGGGGGACCCAGGATTCCAGAAATACTTTCTGCTGGGTCAGGAACAGAGTCACCAACCTTGTTTCCTTTCCCTCCAACAGCAGAAACCAACCCCCTCGTTTGACAGATGAACACCATTTTGGTAACCGAATCCTGACACTGAAAGAGTTTGGATAAGACTTTTATTTCAACCCTAGAGCTCCTCTTGTTTATCTGATTTAATACTTTCCCCATCCTCCTCTCCTTGTTTCCCAGAGACTCTGAGATRAAACGTATCCTGGCAAAAGGCTGTCCCACTGTCATGAAGCTCATCCTCATCTGGGCTCTCTCACACCTGCCTCGTGAGTATCTGCCCAGCTGGCTTTGTGTTCACCAAAGAGAAATCCTGGGGGAAAAGTGAAAGATGGGTCAAGACAGGAGACACCATGGMAGACTTGAGACGGAGGGCTGATTCTCGGTCCCCACCAACTCTCTCCCTGTAACGGTGCCTGCCTGCCTGACCTGAGGTTGTTGGTTTTGTATGCTTCCGGGGAGGCCAGGACATTGATACCCCAACCAGAACCACTCCTAAGAAAGAGCTGACTCTGGACCTTTCTGGACCAGGATTAATGTTGGGGTGAGAGAATGGGAGTGAGGATTTCCCAATTCATGGGCACCACAGAGCATAAAACAGTCCTTTGTATTGGTGCGTAKGTCATTCTGCTTGCATTATTTTTTTGGAGAAAAGAAATAAGACTTGTGAAAGTATTCTAAAATTGGCAAAGAAAAAAAGTTGATTTAATATTACATACACTGGATTTAGAAAGTATTTAAGAAAGTTTATTTGAAGAATATTTATTGTCACTTAAAAGGGCAAACACCTTTTTATTTATTAAACATATGTTTCTATCATTATTTTCTTCATGTTTAGAACAAAATCAATTCATAGGTTTAGTTTATACTTAAAGATATCAAGAGAAGGTTGGAGAAGCCTATTAAATAATGCTCCTTTGGTTTTTCAGTGACTATTGAGAAATCTCAGAATTTCTTGTTGATGTCTCTCTTTCCAGTTACCTTTGCCTATAATCCAGAGTACACAGGTGCCATTACCCCCTCTTACTTGGTCTACTTGAAATCCGATTACTTGCCCTGCGTAGGAGCCCTGATCCATCCACTTTGGGTAATCACAGCTGCACATTGCAACTTGCCGTGAGTAAAAAGCCACACTACTGTTTGGGTTTTCAGGTCGGACACTGCCCAGAACTATCTCCCAATTAAATGGGGTTAGAAAGATCTTTGAGGGGCATTCAGTGGCAGAGGAAAACATCTGTGGGCTAGTGAAGGCCCATAGGATGGAGAAGCCACCTATGTTAAGTACTGTTGTGAACATCTGTATCATTCCAGGAAGCTCCAAGTGGTGTTGGGGATCACAAACCCTTCAGATAGCAGGGAACGTTATGTGCAGGTGGTCGGCTATGAGAAGATGATTTATCATCCTTACTTCTCAGTCTCATCTATCCAAAATGACGTCATGTTAATCAAGCTGAAAAAA